TTAGAATATCTATATTCATACAGCATGGTTAAGCATAGTCCTTATAATATTATTCAATTTAACATTAAATATCAATGTAAATTTAATTTCATTGACACTTACCTAATCCTGASAGTGACAGACCACTATCGAGTTCACCTGTACTTAATTCAGGGCGTGTATAATCTCTATTATAAAAGCAAAACATCAATTTCTGTACTATAAACAAAGAGGTAAAAATACAAAGTACTGACCTGCTTCTGTCGTTATTGTACTTGATGTTCAAGTTACTAAGCTTAGAGAATTCTATTCTTAATGTGCAGCATCCATTGTAGATGTTCTGACCATCAAGATGCTGTGGAAAAAAGATTGTAACAATTGATGAGYAATAGGTCAAAGCATGGGTCTAATACGAACTTGACAAGAAAGTGAGACTGATGAAACAGCAAGCTAATAAGAAACTATTATTACAAAACCCTTATGAGGGTAAAGGATTTGTTTGAATGCCAAGCATACTCTCATAAAGATCACTTAGAAGTTAGTTTACTTACAATTTTTCCAGCCAACGCCTCGCTGGATTGTGAATATTGTACTAGAGCTTGAAACTGGTCTAAAGAAAGATAGAATTTATAAATGAACAAACAATGCAGGACTTGCAAGTACAAAAAAAAAACTAGTACTATAAAATAAAATYTATATAAGAGAACTTACTGTTCTTTACAAAAGTGACAATTTTGAGGACTGTTCCATATTTTGAGAAAACCTGTGTGAGCATAATAAAGAGTTGGAATATTTAGATCATGTACAACACAAGAGGATATCATTGAATCAAAACACAAACACACAATTCTCAGTTTCTCTTTGTGTGTGGAAATAAACTGTTTGTAAAAATCTTTTAAGGCAGCGATGTTGAAATATAATAAATCCAAAGCATACACGGTAACATTCGATGCATGTGGGCAAAAAAAGTTAACTTGACTCCTTGGCATCCCATAATATACTTAAGCTCAATTCAAGATGTCTACCTTAAACTTTATCAAATATTTTTGAYATAACAGATCTCTGAAGGTTTTATGTCATAAACTATGTATGCAATGCATTGTAGGAAATGCTTGGCACAAAATATGGCAGATTTTTTGTTTTCTCTAGAAACTAATCCCACAATGCAAATCAAGTAGGGGACGTGAAAGTATCAGAAGTCTACATCTTATCATGTCTGTACCTGGTGTAACGTATCCAGGCTAATATTGTATAACATCCTTTCAATAACAATCCTTAGAATACATCCAGGTACACTAGCATCTGGAAGAGAGGTGGTCATAGCACCAGCCTCTAGTTGACCAGCACTTAGTCCAGACAATGCACTACTGGCTGCTGCTACCACGTCAGCTGACCCTGCTGCCGCTAATATATGAGATGTCTACAATAACAAAGAATAGTATGGATAAGAAATTTATTCTGTTTTATGCACTTAAGTATGATACATTATTAATAGAGGTTTATCATGACGTTCATGGCAAACGCCAAACGGCAGAAAAGATAATGTGACCTGCTTTTTTTGAGTTTAACGTTGCAGTTTCAACGCGAGAGCGGGTTATTTTGAGGTTGCCATAATCGTGAAAAGCCGCTCTTTCAAATGACTACCAAAAGCAAAAGGTCGGGCACGAAATTCTTAGGTCATTGGTTCCGCTCTGCCGTTAGCTGTCAACGTGATGCTAAATCTCTCTAATATCTACATTTGTACCTACCCCTGGTGCATGTTGTCTTTCGTTTGTTGTTAGTTCTCTGTGATTGGAGTACTGTATGATAACTTCATGTCCTCTGAAAAACAAACCAAATACAGCATATTTTGCATGTTATGACTCATGGTATGAACATGTGAAGCTTCTGACAATTCTAAACTTTAAATAGATGTCTATATTTGAGAGAAATGGCCATATTTTCCCTCGTTTTTTTTTTTGTAGGTTACCTTACTATACGRACTAAAAGTTTGATAAACAAGATAAGTTTTACTTGACGTTTCGATACAAACTTGTTTCATTTTTCAAAGTGTTTCAATTTACCTTACTATAGGAGGCCTATAGGCGTAGTARTTCATAAGTGCAATAGCTTTGGATTCATTCTCCATCTCTAGAAATGCCTGTTGAAATCATACAAATAAATAAATATTATTATTATATATCAAGTGTCAAAGTTCACTTTTCCTAGCTAAGTTACATTTATAGTATTCATTTTGTTATTACATTGATTGATTTAAGTGACATTCGACTATTTGTATTGCCATTTTTCAGTCATTTTTCAGCTTCGGGAAACATCAGCGTTCTCGGGACCACAAAACATACTGTTTCCGAGTTCCAGTAAATAAGTGTTAATTAGTATCGCTAACTATCATATGAATTCAATATACCAATCAATGAATGTTACTAGCAAATCTAACAACACTCTTTTGCCTTTAAACCTGGTTTTTACTGGTAATGATTTGTCAGAAAGAATGAAACTGTGAATAGAGCAGACCAGAAGGTTTTCATTTGTTATTCTGGTTCTCTGGCCTTATGCTCTCTGCATTGTCTTACCTCACCAATAAAAAACAAGCTGTACTACTTTACTATATTATTCAGATGCATTGTCCATCTATGAAAAAAGTGTTTAAACAGACTTTTCTTTTGCATGCAAGTTTTCTCCYTTCATTGCAAACAAGCTATTAGGATTGTTATCAAACCATCTTCATACAAAATGATTAACATATTTTATACACTTACTTGGCCTTTATTTTTTAGAATTAGTACATTGGTGACTTTTCCAAATGGAATTCCCAATGCTATGATTTCTGCATCAACAGCATCCTCAACAACTTGGCGCAAGTGTAGTACTTTAGAAGGAGTACTTARATTATCAAGTCTTGGCTGAAATATAATATAAACACAGCTTAATCTACAGCATTTGACAAAAAATCCTTTAAAAGGGATATTGATATACATGTATTCACACAGTGTGATATCATTTTTATTTGCATACTAGTGACAATTTAATAATTGCTAATATTTCTGTAAATATTCAAGTATATTTTACTTGTAATTTTTTTTATTACCTTTTTTTGGTCATTAGATATTCCTAAAAGATTAAAAAAATGTCAAATTAGCATTCAACGCAACTGATATATTAGTTTGCACTTAAAARAGTCAGCCAAAACGTTTGAGACATTTTGACATGAAAACCTGAATGCTATTAGCTGRAACTGCACAAGCTTGGGATGTTATTAATCTCTGGTGCCAAGTTACAGGAAGTTACCAACATTGATATCTCAAACTCATACAGTTGCCCTTGGCATGTTAATGTTTCAAAGTCAAAACATTGGTCTCAAAAAGTTTGGCTTTTTTACTCAAATAAAAGTATTTTGCTCAAATGACAGTAGAATTCACTTTGCAGGAAATATAACAAGAGAAACATAGATTTGTAATCCTTTTATGTCCTTGCGCACTACTATGAAGGAAGCATATGCCATGAAAATAGCACAGGTCGCAATTATTGTGGGTTTGGTCAGAAATAATGATAACACAGCCAAGGTTAGGCCTTGATCAGCTGAGAAACTTACCAGCCATATTTGCAAGTAAATCGTCTGAGGTCCGCTGTAAATAAACAGATATTTAATCAGATTGAGAAAAACATARAGCTAATCTACAGGTTGCAGTTGTTTCCTGGGTCCATGGTGTGCACTGATATTTAATTTTACTTTACAGGAGTTATGTCATCAGACAAAAACAGTAAAAAAAAAAAAAAGAAGTAAAAACAGTAAAATCCAATGTGCTTTTTAGTACCCAACCATGTTATTAAATTAAGTAATAGAACAAAAATGCAGGGTTAGCATAATTTGGTAGTATTTTAGATTCATAGTTCAATTATGGACCCGTGCAAGACATAACTTGAAGATTGCTGAATGTATACAAACTGAGACTGTAATGTAAACAATGTTTGAGGCAACCATTAGCATGACAAAAAGTTTGTGATTATAATAATGGAGTAAGCTTTGGAAAGTACTGCTGCAATGTGAAATTTGGTATTTCAAGAACTTTGCTATAATAACTACCTTTAGTTAGTCACATTTAAGCAGGGGAGTAGACCAGGGCCTTCAGAGCTATGTGAATTATTATAATAACCTTGGATGTCACCAATTTACATAAACAGTGAACAGAACAGTGCTTTTTTAACTTTTGACAAAAGTTTACTTAGCTTTTACAGGTGATGTTTACAGCTGACACCTTAGCTAATTAAACTATATCTCTCTTTCAGAGGGAGCTGTAATTACAGGGCAAAACTAAGCCATATTTGATATAGGTAAAAGCTTTAGAGTTCAAACCACAAATGACTAACAAAAATGTTCTACATGGATAAGCACAGCTATACTCCCAGGAGAACAAAATTCATTATAATTTAGAACTTGTTGGATATAGTCCAATTTTGGACCGCTTCATAGGGGGGTTACTTTGGTATTCGTTAAAATTTAGTTAAATTTTCAATCTTGAAGACTAATGTCTTTGAGATTGATTGAAAATGTAAAAATTAGAAAAATAATGATAATCACGGTACATTGACTCAATTAATATATGGATTATTTATCCACAGCATTCTTTGTGAATTCAAAGTTGTTTTGCTGTTGTGGGAAGCTTTCTTTGAGTTATAAAGAAGTTAATAAACGAAATAACCATAATCACTAAAATCTTGCTATTCAAGAACTTTAAAATGGTAATATACGTTGTGAGCTTGTAAAAGCGTTGGACRATTAAAATGCCCTTTCGGATACAATGATACCAGTTTTGCAATAAAAATAACGCCATCTTTTATTAAAAATTCATGCTAATACGACYCWTTAGCATCAAATGCTCTAACCGTTTAAGGTACTGCTACAATATTACTCCAAAGGACTAAAACTAAATATCAATTAAAGATGCTTAGCTTCGAAACTACATGAACACTTTGTTTTAATGTGTGCTTTTCATTAGCAAAGCTTACAAGGAAAGTGATGCTTCGTCAAGTAATTTCAAGTCTGCAACAGTTCACCTAGACAACAGAAAACCCAGAGAGGTATGCCACGTAGGAGAAAGAGCCAGCAGCACAGAAATATCGATTTAGCTGATTTACAAAGTAAAACGCCATGCATACAAGCTTAACTCTTGAAGTATATTCCCAATGGCCGAAATAATTAATATTGAACACTTAGTTTCGTCAGTAGTAAGCTTATGTTATTCTTTTTGAGATTCGACGGAAGTCAAACTCTTCCATTTTTTTTTTGCACGATGCAAAGCGATACTAGTTTGATCTTACCAAAATTACAATAGCAAAATAGGAACTATACAATAACAACGCATTTGGTGTTTGCTTTTAAAGTGCGTTGAAGAGTTGGCGGTTAGCCAAACTGTTAACACAACGCAAAGAGGAAAAGAAACGAAAACACGCGTCTACAGGAGACCAGCAAAATCACGAGTTATCCAAAATCCTTAAAAACTCCTCAAAATATCAAGTYGCACACGTAAATTTTACATGAAATATATAAATACTGGATGGCTAATGCATCACCTTATTAAACAAGTTAAAATAACGATGAAAAGTATCTAAATAACACACGGTTGCCATTTTCGCTGCCCAGTTAACAACCTCATGGGCAAAAAATGCACATCGTTGAGTACCTTAGTAGCTCCTGAGCCAAGTCCTGCCAAGGCGGCCACAGTTGTCATAATCGGGCGGAAAGAGAACGAGCACTCACTACCGTCAATACAGGAGCCCCTCAAAATAGCTCTCTCTCAGAAGAAGATTCGATAGTAAACTTCTGCAGTGTTTTTTCCTCCAGTTGTGTTCWCGGCTACAGGAACAACATGGCGGCGTGTGACCACGACTAACAATGACCCAAAGGAATCATGGGATTCCWAACTCAATGTCCACCAATCATAACACKCGGAGTCGAAAWATCTGACTTCCGGGTATTTTGACTTCCGGTAACAAAAGAGTACTTGAATGGTGGTTTAGATTTCTTGTGGTTATTGAGGACAAAACAGGGAAATATTTGAAAACAATGCGTTATCATTGGACTTCAGACGATAAGACACATTTCCGGCCACTTCACTTTCAAAATGTAAAGCGATCGACATTTATCTTGTGCGTCAACATACATTCAGCGGTAACTTTGATTGCTTATTTTACAATTTTATGAAAAAGCGATAGTGAAACGTTGGTTTGGATTGAATTCTATTCATAGTTAGTCTGGAGTGGAATATGAATAAATTACAGCGACCTGCAGGGAGAGCATAAAGATACTTATAATAGAATAATAGATTATACCTGTAAGGGATTGTTCATTATTTTTGTAACCAGTAAGGGAGTGCTCATTCCTTTTGCAATCAGTAATAAGGGAGTGTTCCTTTTTGAAAAAAAAGGGGGGGAGCAGTTTGACTACATTATTTTGAGGGTTATTAAAGTTTAAAGATTATTCTAAGGGTTCTCAATCGCCAATGGAAAATCGAAAATCACTTACTTTATACCATATCTACGAAAAAGGTGCGTGCGCTCCCCTCCCCCCCCCATCCCCCACAAAACAAAACAAGACAAAACAAAGCAAAAAAAAAAAAAAGGCGCGCATATGAATATGAGTTGTAAAGCGATCATAGGGAGCACTGCCCTCGTTTTTATGCGAACATTATCTGGGAATACATAAGCTAACGTTCTACTTTTGCCTACTCCCCAATCTCCTTCTGATGACCGCGCTCGGAAGGGCAATGGTAACAACATTATGGTCATGTTCCCGTAATGACGTCATGATTGTTTGGGYGAAGTGCATCATGGTATTGTTAAACTTATCGGCCAGATGTGCTATAATGCTGAGTCAGGACACGGTCCGCGGTTTCTGCTGCAGCCTGCCATGCGCAACATTATTATGCAACGTAGGGAGGGGAGGTGCACGACTGAGCTCGATCTCAAATTTCCTGAATTTAGGCAGTTACCATACTAGCTTCATTGCTTTTCCTGGAAATTTGTGTGACTATGCACCAAAATAAATTGAGGCTATGCAAAAATAAACGCACACTCTAGAAAAGATTTGAGTCACATTCATTACTGCAGAAGAGTCTGTATATAGTTTTGGTATAGTAGTTCTCTTTTCAAAGTTTAATAAGTTCGAGAAAATTAAATCGTTTTCTGTCAAAACTTTTCAACTTAATGATAAGCCTTGACATTGTATTTATCAATTGGTTATTTTCGTTGTCGATAATAATATAATTTATTATAGTGTTAATTCTTGAAATGTGCAATGCTGAACAGGTTGTTAACAAGTTGYTAATGCCGGAGGGCGTGTCCCCWTGAAACCACGGACACCCCTGGATTAAAGTAAATTTATTAAACACGATTTTTATAAATTGTTTARAATAAGGAGTTCAACTTGAATATCAAATCTATAAAAAATCAAAGTAGAAATATTTCAAAGGACTACTTAGCTTTCACTCTACTTATTGCCAGAGTATTTGCTCGAGACACATATACTCGTCATATGATGATGTATGGGTAGCATTAATAGCGTGTATTTAAATATCTCGGGGGATTAATTCAAAGAAATTACGTTTACAGGTGACTAATCCATTGCTGTTTTTTTGAGGGCGTTTGTTATGGATTTTCAGCAAAAAGGAGAATATACCCGGCCAACTGAATTAATTCGCAGTTAAGAATTCGTTCAAACTCTCGTTCTCCTGTCATTTCATATTASTAGTCTTTATATACGTCCACATATGCAATTTAAACGTGTCAAACTAAGAACACAAATTAACAAAAATAATTTATTGCTCATATGCAACAAAAGTAATTTGCTCGTATGAAAAAGAAAGGCAATTATCGACTCTCACGCGTTTACATGTAAGAGTAGTGAATGGAATCATTGTATCGGCTTGAATTTTCTTCAAACAATTTCCTCTTTTCAATTTTTAAGAGATTTTATTTATAATGATGCTCCTTTCGTAGACATTTTAGTGTATTTTCGTCAAGACTGAAGACCAAACAACGGTATTTACTTTGAGGTTTTGATCTGCGTTCAAAAAACGCCGGCTATATTCCAACCTTTGAATTACCAAATAAAAATCRAACTATCGAGCTATTGATTGCTTTTGTATTGACAAAGAAGCATTCAGCTTCCCAATTACCGGATTATTGACAGTGGACATTATTAAAACTCAAAGAAAAAAGACTCCAAAAATCTTTAGTTAGATGCGGATTTGATGACTCAATTCAACTGTAAAGGCGYTCTGTCTCCAAATCACCCCAATCAGTATAATCCTAAACTCCAAATCAAGAGGTAATTAATTCGTGTTATTGGGCGATTTTCAGCAGAAAGCACCTTAATTAGAAGGTCTTTGCAAAGATGATTATTACGATTTCCTCTGTCACTTCCCTAACAAGGCGGTGAAATATATTGGTTCTTATGTTATTGATAGTCATACAGCCCGTGCGAAAAGTTCTATGAGCTGACAGATAGCAACGATCTGATTTGTCGAAGGCCAATTAAACATGCAACACTGTTCCCCATGCCAGTGGTTTACGACTAAGAACTTATGAAAATCAACCACCGAATCGATTCAACTCTACCGCGCTTAATTTCATCTATAGTTGGTTAAAAATTCAAGTACTTTTGGTGGAACTGAGGGAAGAGGTTTACGTTTTACAAGCACCCGGACGATAAAGAGAACTGTCTTTGAAGGAAAGTCCATTTTTTTTGATGCGATATTAGAATGTACACGCGATGAATGGTTCCTTGTGTTGTACTTCAAACAGCCCCGTCGAGCCCACCCCACTGCGTTGGACCCTTCGGCTGATTTATATCGCCGTTTTTGTCGTTGGAATCGTTGGAAACCTGGTCGTTTGCAGCGCYGTCGTCCGAAGGAAAAGGATGCGTACGAGTAACAACTTATTCACAATTAACCTGGCTTTCGCGGATTTGATAGTTGTTGGGATCTACGTACCAACGCAAATGGCTGCTTTTGAAAACGATCATAATTGGCCTTTGGGGAATTTCGTCTGTCTAGTGGCCTATATTACAATCCCAATCTGTTTGTCAGCGTCAGTTGGGAGTCTACTWGCAATTACTTGCGACCGCTACCGGGCCATAGCTCACCCACTAAGGCCAAGACTTACTTTGAAAAAAGTAAAAATAATCATWTTTGTRATATGGGTGCTTTCGTTYATYACAAGCAGTCCACTTCTATTTGTTGCCGGTACGAGTAGACATCCTAACGACGGSCAGCTGTATTGTTCGGAAACATGGCCCGAAGATACGCCCTATGAAAAAACATACTGGATCTCAATATTCATCGTCCAGTACGTTATCCCTTTGGCTTTAATCGCGGTGTTGTCAAGGGTGACCGCCAAAAAAATCAAGCAAAACGATTTCTTTAAGAAAAGACGTTATTCCCAAGTAGTGACWAACGCCGTCCGACAACGAATGAAACAGAGCGCGCGCATTACAAATATGCTTGTTGGTTTGGTTGTTTTATACACTGTTTGTATGCTACCACAACATATCGTTTATTTCTGGATGACGTACGGAGATCTTAACTACTTGAGCTACAAGATGTACATCTTTAGACTCGCTAACGTTTTTCCCATGGCAAATTGCGCGCTCAATCCCATTGTCTATGGAACGCTTAATAAAGAGTTCGGTCAGGTGTTCAAAACATTCTTTGCGCACTTAAAATGCCAAAGCAATTCAACGAATACAAAKAGTACTGGCGAGCAACCGATGAACAATCTWATCGATAAAAAATCGGCAATGTCTTCATTAATCGATAGACAGTCGAAGAGAATTGAGTTTCAGAGGACSAGGGATACATTGTGCTGTGACATTAACGACGATYTGCAAGAAGGACAACAGCTCCCCGAGGGTTGAGRGAAGCTCTTGACGAASAAATAAACTGGTTAAATTTCAATGACAGACAGCAAGCTAACTGTACAACAAATTTCTTTGGGTAGGACCCACGGGATAACTTTCCCTATATTTTAAATGCTCGTACTATGTACATCGACAACTACAAATCGCAGTGGTACACAGCGCTATCCCAATCGGCCATAATGTCCGCATTACTATAGTGGTCGGTCTATCGAGGTTGATATGCGTTCTACTGGAGTTCTATCAGAGACCCTTTCAGGTTCTTGTCCATTAAAATCACGTGACTTGCCTCTGTGGTAAACCGACTGTACTAAATCTTAATGTGCGTAATTTGTTCTTGYAATTGAGTCTTTGTCTGTGTGCTTAACTTCTTTGAATGCTCGAAGAACATCTTGTAGTCTTGGATTATTCGGGACATTGTACATAAAACAACTGAAATATCAAATCAATGGTTGCTTTGTATTAATGGAACGTTCACCATTACGCATAAATCAGTTTCGTTTCAAATCAAAGATGAAGAAATGTTTCACGCTATATATAGGGAGTATTTTTCCTTTTTAAGGAGTTTCAGTAAGTTGTTTTGCAAGACTGTTGTAAACGGATAGCTAAAGTTATTATTCGAGACCTATATTATTCTCAGATATAATAAGGTCGTAAAATAGTCGACTTTAGACATTTTGGTTCAGTGGCCTTGCACAAAAGATTTGCAGACGAGGCTCCGGGGAAATAAAAGAATAAATCAAGATTATCCATTGTTTTCCTGGAGCCTCGTGTGCGTTTATTAAAGGACTAGTCAACGGTAGAGGCTTGATAAGATGCTTTTGTACATAGTCATCGAACCAAAATATCTAAAGTTGACTATTGGATGCATTTCTGCCGAACGCTTGACTTCGAAATCTTCGCTACAAAAGTTGCTTGCCACATTTCTATKCACTACAACTCCCACTTTTGAAAATGTTATTTTTTCTCTGCATTATTAAGCGGGTACATTCTTCAAAACGGCGTTAAAAACTCACGTGATTACAAGTCGTACTTACTATACTAGCTGTACAGCGGTTTCGTAAAGTTGGACATGCTCGACACATGCTTTTGCCTACAATTGAAATCGAAAAGCATTGACTCAAAATAAAGGAATCATGRGAAGTAGTTCAGGAACTTTGGGACACAACGACGTCATATTTTCATTCACTAAATCAACAATTATTCCGATACCTCTATTTGTTTATCCATTCATCAAAATCATCTGTACAACATATATTCCTCCAACCTTGTCCCCAGCGTTCAGTTTGCAGTCGGAGTAAGGCGGGAGAAAATAGTCTGGGAACGAGGTTGACCATATCTTACCAACTGRCAAGCTACCATCAATTGTTTGACTTTTTGTATGGATAATTCCGGATGATCCACAACAGTTAACTCCAAAATGTCGAGGACCTGAAAACATAATAGAAAAGAAAATGGATAATTCTAATAAATAAACATATACTTTGAGAGCCTGTAGAACAAACGCTCTACTCGTGTTTTATCACCGTTATATCAAAACACACCAAGTGAGTGAAAATTCGCCTACGCCCCGTTTTTTCAGTTTATTTCTCGGTTCCTTTATAAGCTGATTACACACTCGTACTAGATTTGAAGTACTCGTGTTTGATTGCTTGAGGATTGAGTATGTTTAAATATGTGTTTCAAGTACTCGTTTTTAAATATCTTTTTCGACGGAGTACTTCACTTGGAGTACGCGCGCTAATAGCTGATTTAAGTCTTATCATTTATAAAGCATCTCCGTAAATTCACAAACAGTTTACCTGAGTTTCAAAACTTGGTTGATACCGTCGCCACAGAGCCACTAGAGCGTCTTGCCCCAACACCTCTTTATAGCCACAACCTGGATAGAAATGATGAATCAGATAAAACAGCCGAATTATGAACCTTGATTTAGTCTCTAAGATTATTGCTAAAAATATAATTCGGCAATATTCATTAGACGAATGCCGATATTAAATTTTATACAACTTTTCAGTAAAATCAGACGTTTTGATTGCTTGGCTTTCGTGTGTTATCAAAGTATAGATACACGGATTACGTCAAAACTAATTGTTTGTTGWATAAAACAGATAGATCTCATTTTTCCGTGTGTATGTACTCTAATAGATACACAGATGACGTCAAAATGTAGTGAGAACAACAGTCACGCACTCGACTGCGTCTCGTGCGTACTTTTTTGTTCTCACTACATTTTGACGTCATCTGCATATGTATCTATTAGAGTACACACGCACGGAAAAATGAGATCTATTTGTTAAATAATAAAGATTAATCCTAATATACGCTCCCAGTGCATCCCATAATAGTTAAAAAAAATCTCGTCATTTAGGATGTCTACACTAGAATAACATCAATAACAAAGAATTATGGTCGTAATTTAAGTACACCTTTACCTTTTGTGTTTGCGTCTAGTTCGGTTTGTCGCGTCATCTCGCTAACGAAATCAAGAAACTTTGGTGACAGACAATCGTCAACGACAACATGGTCGCAAGAAGTACTGCACGAAAAAAAAGTCATCTCAGAGGGTTGCTATTCGCTCTCATYCGACAGACATCTTTCTCAAATAAGTCTACAGTAACATGCAAAAAGCCAAACGGCTTAGGGATGACTGTTTTAGTTGACATGAAAAAGTGCAAGATTTAGGATCAGAATATAATTGTTTGTTGCACAAAATGGCGTCTCTGCTCATTATTGGACAGGAAATTTTGAAAAATAGAATTCCTAGGGAGTTTTCAAGGGTTATAGCGAGCCCATAATCCCTCCTCATGAATCGCTACGTCGAGTAGAGAAATATAGTTTATACATCATCATCCTCATTCTGCTACCACGGGCTGCCTAAAACCGTAAGATTTGCCTACCTGGAAATGACGTCAGTACACGAATTACCAGCCAGGAGTAACGACTCAACCTATTCATAGCACAAAATTAGCAAAATGTTTTATTTTTTCGGCACTATGAATAACTGCA